TCTTTCTTTTCTTTTTTTTTAAATATATTTTATTGATTTTTTTTACAGAGAGGAAGTGAGAGATATAGAAGATTTGAAACATCGATGAGAGAGAAACATCGATCAGCTGCCTCCTGCACATCTCCCACCGGGGATGTGCCCGCAACCCAGGTACATGCCCTTGACCGGAATCGAACCTGGGACCCTTCAGTCTGCAAGCCAACGCTCTATCCACTGAGCCAAACCGGTTTCGGCAAAAAAGGAGAATATTTTGTGATTCCTGAAATTTACATGAAATCTAAATCTAACACCCATTAAGTTTTACTGGAATACAGCCACACCTATTAGTTTACATATTAACTATGGCAGCTTTTATGCTACAATGGCAGAGCTATATAATTGTCAATGTTATAGATGTTGTATAGCCCACAAAGTCTAAAATATTGACTACTTGGCTCTTCAGTCTTCATGGAATCACAAGTTCTGAGTTCTAAACTGTATAAATATGTGATATTGGGTGAGTCACTTACCATCTCTAGGACCAAACTATAAATTCCAGAATGTAACCTCATGGGTAAGTTCTTAATGGAAAGTGGGCCTGAATCCAGGCCATAACAAATCAAATACCTTCAGCTTTTCCAAAGTGGATCCATGCTATACAGATTTATTCTTGCTTTTTTTTTTTTAAATATATTTTATTGATTTTTTACAGAGAGGAAGGGAGAGAGAGAGAGATAGAGAGTTAGAAACATCGATGAGAGAGAAACATCGTCAGCTGCCCCCTGCACACCTCCCCACTGGGAATGTGCCTGCAACCAAGGTACATGCTGTTGACCAGAATCGAATCTGGGACCCTTCAGTCTGCAGGCTGATGAGAGAGAAACATCGATCAGCTGCCTCCTGCACATCTCCTACTGGAGATGTGCCCGCAACCCAGGTACATGCCCTTGACCGGAATCGAACCTGAGACCTTTCAGTCTGCAGGCCGATGCTCTATCCACTGAGCCAAACCGGTTTTGGCTATTCTTGCTTTTAAGAAAACTCTATAGCCCAGCCAGCATTGCTCAGTGGTTGAGCATTGACCTATGAACCAGGAGGTCACGGTTGGATTCCTGGTCAGGACACATGTCTGGGTTGCGGGCTCAGTCCCCAGTGTGTAGTTTGCAGGAGGCAGCCAATCAATGATTCTCTCTCATCACTGATGTTTCTATCTCTCTCTCCTCCTCCCTTCCTCTCTGAAATAAAGAAAAAAATGTATTTAAAAAAAAACACCACTATATAATTTTTTTAACCTAGAAAAATCCTGGCATGTATGAAAAGAAAACGAGAAATGTATAAGGATCACTGTAATTCTGAATATTATGATGGAAAACTGGAAATGAATTAAATGTACAAAATAGGAGAAAAGTTAACAAATTATCTTATATCTATAGGTTACCTCCCAATTAGGCAGATCTCCAAGTATCCACATGGAATGACTTCAAAGACATATTAAATGAAAAAAAAAGCATGTTACAAATTAACAGGTACAGAATGATCTCTTTATTTTATAACGCAACTATTTCTATATGTAGACATATTATTGCATAAAATGAAAAGTCTAGACCAGTGCTGGCTAATAGAAATTATATTGCAAACTATATGTGTAATTTTATATTTTCTAGTAGCTATATTAAAAAAGTTAAAAGAAAGAGGTTAAAATTCAATTTTATAATATACTAGAGTTCCGATGCATGAAATTTGTGCTTGGGGGGGGGGGTCCCTCAGCCCACCCGGGGGCCTCTCACAATCTGGGACCCCTCAGGGGATGTCCGACTGCCGGTTTAGATTGGGTCTAAACCTGAAGTCGGACATCCCTCTCACAACCCAGAACCCCTCGCTCCTAACTGTTCACCTGCTCGTTCATTACCGCTTGGCTTGCAGCTCCTTAGCACTGCCCTGGAGGCAGTCTGGGCTCCCACCACCACTGCTGTGCTAGCCAGCCCAGCTTCTGGCTGAGCAGCGCTCCCGCTGTGGGAGCACACTGACCACCAGATGCTCCTGCATTAAGCGTTTGCCCCCTGGTGATCAGTGCACGTCATAGCCACTGGTCGTTCCACCATAAGGGTAGCTGGGCTTTTATTATATAGGATTTTATTTAACCCAATATGTAAAAACTTATTTCCATATGTAATCAATATAAAAAGTTAGAAACAAGATATTTTACATGTTTTTTTCTTTTTTTAAAACTTTTTAGAAGAGTTTATTAGCTTCAATGTATCACATTTTCATTTTTTATTCTTTTTTTAATTAAATCTTTATTGTTCAGATTATTACATTTGTTCCTCTTTTTTATCCCCCCATAACTCCCCTCCTCCCAGTTCCCGCCCCACCATCCGCCCTCACTCCCCACCCACTGTCCTCATCCATAGGTGCACGATTTTTGTCCAGTCTCTTCTCCCATACCCCTTTCCTCCCCAAGAA